TAAATTAATGTTCCACTATGTTCACTTCCAGCTGCTAAAACAAGAGGACGTGATGGTGACCAACGACAAGTATATATTGCACCTTGTTCTGGTGCAAAACAACGTCCAAAATTAGGCTAAATAAATAATTCAATTAAATTTCTAAAGGAAATAATTTTTCAATAAAATTCTCTTACAAAAAGTTGTGAATAAATTCGAATTTGTCCATCATGTGCACTTGTAAGAAATAGATGTCGATTAAAAGGAGAAAAATCAACTGAATAAATAGGACTATCATGTGATTGATATGCCATTGTAATTGGATTTTTAGGTTGAACAGACATTTCAGCAAGACCTTCTTCACCTATCATATAAAAACTATAAATTTAAATAAAATTATTTAATTAAATTCTCTAAATTTACGTGATTGAACAGATGATGCAGAATTAAGTGAACCTTTATATAAAAATCCTGAATCACAACCAAAAATAAATGTTTCAGAATCTTCATTATTAAATGTAATACTTGTAACTAAATAATTTTTATAAGTGATTATTAAAAAATGATTTTTTTTTACATACCTCCCATTGGTTTTCCTGATGATTTACTACTACTACTTGGTTTAGTTGAAACAAAATAAGCATCAGTTAATTTTAAATTATTTTTACTAGGTAATGGATTCCATAGAAGAATTTTTCCATCTTGACTTGTTGATACAAGCTATTATAAATAATTCAATTATTAATTTTAAATATATATATATATATATATCATTCAGAAGAAATTAAAACTTTACAATAAATTTTTTCTTTGATAATTTTGGTTCACGAATCCATTGTAGTGATGTTACAGAATCTCGATGTAAATCTTGTCGTTCAATAGTACGAGCTATTAATGAATCTTGTTCACGAAAATCCCAAACAAGTATCTCACCTTAAATGAATAAATATAAAAACAAACAAAAATGTACAATATACAAACCATTATAAAGACCAGCTGCTACAATGCCTGGTCTTTCTGGATGACAAGCAAGTGTTGTAACACATGTACTTGTTTCAACATTCATATCAGGTTTATTTGGATTTATTTTATATCGTTCAATATTCCATGAACATACCGCACCTTTATGCATACATAAACCTTCATGTGATGTACTTCCATAACCAACAACAATTGATGAACCATTAGCTGACCACGATAAACTTGTTATTTGTATTTCTTTATCAATTAAAATTTCTGGATAAGTTAATGTAAATAATTCTTGTGCTGTATCATCACCTGTATATCTCATTTTAATATGACCTAAAGTATTATATCAATATAAAGATTATATCTTTAGAAACAAAAAAACAACAATAATTCAGCATACGAAGAATATTTGGACGTTCTAAATTTTCATCAAGATAATGTAAAACAATTGGTTCAATACGTCCAAGAAATTTATTAAAACGATTTATATCAATTTCTATATCATCATTAACAGATTTTTCACCAAAATCTACTTGACTCTAATTGAAATAGAAACATATATATATATATATACATTAAACCACGAATGAAATAACGAATGTTTCGTACTTCACGTTCTTTACGTTTTATACTTTGACAAGTAGCATCAGCAAGTTGCACTTCAAATTTAGTTTGTACACTTGCATTTACTGAATGACTATAATGAATTGAAATAAATATTGAATTGATTAAAAAAAAAAAGAATTTATTTATTTTAGACATATACGAACACAGGATCTTTTTGAATGACTTCTTTACAAGAAATAACTGGTAATGTTTCATCATTGAATACAACTGGTTTTCGATTGATTTCAGAATCTGTTTCATCTCGATTTGATTTACTCATTTTAGTAGAAAAATATTAAATGAAATAAAAAATGTTTCATATACTACCATACTGGTTGGTGTTACTTTGACAACACATGGTAGCTTATTAGTGACATCTGCTTTTATTAACATTTTCATTACATGTATATTAATGACACGATATACTAAATAGCAGAATTTAAGCATTGAAAAAAATATGAACAAGTCTATACTTTTAGCTTTTAATTTAGACAAAGAAAAAGTATATGAATTATTTAAATTTATATCATTATTATGGACTTGTAATCATTAACATGTTCTATAACTGTTTTAATAGCATTCATTTGACAGGTTTTGAAAATATCGATTAACTGATACATTTTTCGCAAGCACTGGGTTTTTTATTCACAGCAAAAACTTTGATAATTAGTGGAATGAGACTATTGGGTGTGGGTGTAGATGTGGTAGAAAAGAAGGACAATACCCACACCCACACTCACCCACACCTATACTCATTCACATCCACCCACACTCATACTCACTCACACCCACCCACACACCCACACTCACCCACACTCACCCACACCTATACTCACTCACATCCACCCACACCCATACTCACTCACACCCACCCACACCCACACCCACCCACACATCCACACCCACACCCACCCACACATCCACACCCACACCCACCCACCCACAAATCCACACCCGCACCCACACCCTTCATACACAGTCCTCAGAAACAATTGAAATCTGATTAGTTATCGGTTTTTGTTTAAAAATTAAAAAGAAAAAGATTTTTTTTTATTTCAAAACATCAATACGCAATAGAATTGTTTTCTTCTTATAAATGTGTTTCCAATAAACTATAAATATTATTTGATACAGTTGAATCAGAGAAGTCATTACATGATACTTTAAATAGACCTAATCATTCTGACAAAAAAAAACAACATTCATATATCATATAATTAACAATATGAATCAATAGTTGTAACAATTTTGTTTGATTTCTCTCGAGGTGTATATTGATTTTCATTTGTAATTTTCGTATACATATTAAGATGTTGTTGATATCCAAAACATTCTTGTGATATTTTTATCATATTAATTGGTGTAAAATGATATGGAAAAAATTGTAAAATAATTAATAAATTACATAAACAAGCCGAAACTAATTCACTAATAGCTGATATTTGTTCATAAATATGTAATTGTACAGCAAAATAAACGCATTCAGTAGCAACAGTTATTGTAACAGTTGTAACAAATAGATATAATGCTGATTTAATCCAAATACTGTGAAAACGTACATATGAATCAGAAAAAAATCAAATAATAAATAAAAAGCAATCGAATTTTGTGTTAATGTTCGAAATTTTTTACTTATAAAAAATGGTAAGAATATAGCTAAAATAATTTCTAATCGAGACATAAAATGAAATAAATGTTTATTTTCAACAATAAAATTTATTTTATATTTCTTTATAACTCGACAATAAATTAACATTATTGTAAATATTAATTCAAGTAAACTCCATAAAGCATAATCTATTGTAGAAAACAAATCATTTTTTATAATAGATGTTATCATATAAACAATTCCACCAATTTCACCTAATAGACATAATAAAATATAATATATAAAAAGTGATATACGATTTTCAATTGGTGAACAATAACGAAGATATGCAAAAACAATTAAAATTGTTGAACATAAACCTTCATAACCATTATTATCTGAATGATGTGTTAAGTAATAAAATGCATCAAATACATAAGCAGCTTGAGCCAATATAGGTAAAATAACCATAGACCAGCGAAAAAAATTATCTTGTCCTTCATCAGATTGCTTTTCCGACAACTGAAATATATGAACCATAGTCGTGTATTATTTTATTTAAACGTTTTTGTTCATACGTGATTGCCATGAGCATATATATATATGTATGGGCATATACTAATCTAAAATAATCTATTTATGGTTTTTGACAAAAAGTGATTCAACTATACATTAATGAGTGACACATTCTATCCGTCATAACAACACATAATATGACTCAATATATTGATGTTTACAGGTGATGACACAGCGCTAGGTGGGAAATTTCTAATTGTAAATATCCAATCTTATTCGTCTTTGTGATAATATATGAATAATATCTATATATATATCTCAATTTGTACATTTTGTCATCGAACTGCGTCTTTTTGTCTATACTTTTCTGGAATTATATTTTATTTTCGTCATAAACTGACAACTTGCTAGTTATTAATCAGTTTTTTAAGGATATAGTCTAAATAGTATGTGTATTTGGCCATTGCTTTAGATATTCTTCTTATGATAATGTTCGAGTCATTTGGTTCTGAATAATCTGAACGATGTCTTGTATGAATTACTGAATGACGTTCATTCATTATACAAATATATTCTTAGATTATGTGGGTGTAATAGGCAAAAGTATAATTGATATCTATTAAGGCCTCCCCCTCAAAAAATGTCCGTTTTCATCAAAAATTTCGAAATTGAGATAATTGTATGGAAAGATAAGCCGTCTTCAGATCTTTCGGAAACAATATGATTTTTAAGCCGACACCCCCGTTTCTGATAAGATTTTTGATCATTTCCGTTAACGTCTTCTTGAAAAATATGCTTATTTCGAAAAAAACGAAAAATGTTTTTCGTTTTCTCTCAGTTTAGGCTTTCTGAACCGCGCAATCCATTTTTCTATGTTCAGGCTCATTCAATATATTTTAATTTTCTTTTTGTTTGAAAGAGCACGTCAAGATGTAGTGCAGTACAGAGTCCTTTTTTTAAATTACGCTTGCTTTTTATTATATATACAGACACAGACACCCATTTTTGGCGCGTATTTTGGGTCATTGAACTTGTGATCCCCTTTTTCCGCTAAAAAAGTAAGAATTTAAAAAAAAGGACTCTGTACTGCACTGCATCCTGAGATGCTCTTTCAAACAAAAACAAAAATTAAATATATTGAAAGAGCCTAGACAAAGAAAAATGGATTGCCAAATGAGCTATTTTTGACCCTTGTTTGGTTCATATCTCTGTCACACATCAAGGTATCGAGCTGAAAATTTTACCACAGCCTCCTCACTTCAGCCCCAACATATGCTCCAAGTTTCAGCCCATTTGAACTTTCCTGGGCTGACATCGATTTTTGAGGGGGGGGGGGGGGGGGGAAGCCTTAATAGAAAATTTTTGATTAAATATCATTATAAATAAATAAATGCAATGATATATGAAGTGAAAATTTATAAAAAATAAAAAAGCTCTGTTGAGTTAATAATCTTCTATCAGTAGAATTCAGCAAGTGACGAACTTAATATATTAGAATATTTTTTCATTTTTGAGAAATATTTTTTAATATATTTATGAAGTGTTATCATGGATTGTTAGATTTATAAATTCAATCAGACAGATTGGATGAATAAGAAATATATATTGTATCATCTGAAACTTTACATATTTTTTTTATTATTGTGTTTATTCAATTTGGTTCCGTACATAATATCTATGCAGAAAAAGACGAAAGATAATTGAATTTGAAGTCAATTTTAATGTCTACTAGAATTAATCAGGTGTTTCACATTGATATTTACCTATTGAATACTTGACATAGCTTACGAAGAAGTCTCTTTCATTAATATACGGAAAAATTTCACTGCTTGTTAATATCATACTTCATGAAATTAAACTTTATTGGACTTCTAGATTATAAAGTATGCGCAAAAATTACTGTCATCTGTTGGTCGTCTTTCTTATGATTCGTTTCTACCCGTCATATTGTTGACTATACACCTATTCAAAGATATAGTAATGACTCAAAAAAAGAAAAACAACAGAATGATACCCGTATTTTATAGAATTCTTTTTATTACGTTATCAAAAACATTATAGGGTTAGTAAACTTTATTTTTTTTTATTTAGTTTCCTACATTTAGAATATTATCTTTCTTTGACAATTAAAAAATCATTTTTGATCGATAGAATTTCATTTTTTTTTTCGTTAAACAGATTTATATACATGTATATTAAAACAAACTAATTGTTGTCATTCTTCTAAGTCTTAAATTCTGCCTGTAGTTGTTGTAAATATATCAGGAAAAGGAACAAACATATGAGCAATATTATTTAAAGCTCTTGGATACCAATGAATTCCATTTTCATTTGTCTCGTTCTTATGAATCAAACCAAATATTTGTTTAGCTTGATGAATCCAACGTAAAGGTGCCATAGCCATATGTCCTATATAATGATGATAAATAGATGCATAGCATGATGAACTAACATTATTGACAAGTAATGTTCCATGTTGAGTTATTGGTGTTGCATAGCCATGTTTAATTTGTAAATCAATCGAACGTATACGTGATGATTCTAATTGACCATTTTTTCCGGCAATAAATAATTTATGTTCATTGGAATCAATATAACGAGCTTGAATATATTGTTGATTACCAATGTAAAGAAGATGTTCAGGTGTTAGAGAAACTTGATGTCCTGATTCAGTTGTAAAGGTATAAAAAAGAGCTAGAGATAAAGAAAAAAGTTTTTTTTTTTAATTAACTACAACTGTTTTTTTTATTACCTGGCGAATTCTTCTCATAATGTAAAATAGCAATAATTTCTGTTGATATAATTTGATCATTATGATCAATAGCCAATACTTTTTCACCTATTTTAAGATTTTCAATAGATATTTCATTTCCATTTGGTGTTTTTGTTGTATCATTTAAAGAAAAACATTGAGGTCTTGCTGAGAAAAAAAAAACATATAATAAATTATATATCTAATTAATAATAAGATCATAAGAACTTACTAATAAATGGACATTCTTCACTTTTTTTTTCATCTTTATTTACACAACATTTTTGTGATAATTCAATTAATTCTGAAAGAGATCCACGTACGAACTATGATAAAGAAAAGTTATGTTTTAGTTAAATAAAAACATTTTTTTTTCTTTTCTTACTTCTTCTCCAATACAACCTCGTGTTTTTGTTTTAACACATTCCATAAAACGTTCAGCCATTGTACAAAATACTCTAATATTGCCTTTAGTAGCTGAAACTAAACCAACAGCATCAATAGCGACACAACTGAGAATAGTTGCCGGATCAGCTAAAAAATCAAATAAATATTAATTCAGTTTTTTTTTGCTTGTTTGTTTCTAGAAAAAATTCTTCTACCTTCAACAGGACAATTAGCAGTCGATGATATTATTAAATCGAATCGCGACAAGAAGAATAAAGTTAAATAAAGAACACGATGACTACTCATCATTTGTAGTTTGTAGTAATGAATATAAAATTGAATGATTGAAAAAAGAAGTTGTTCTTCTTCTCTTATATAGTTGAAGATTTGAATTATAAAAAATTCAAATCCATGTTGATCCAACTATTGTTCTATTTTATTTATGTCTTAACATATATTCAATTGACTATCTTGAAAATACATCGCCTACTCTTTTGTCTCGTCAAAGCTTTGTCTTTATGTATTTGATGATTATGATCATTATTATTATTCACATAATCAAGACGATTTCTTTGTTGTTTTTTCTATTTTCGATTACGAATACATATACATTTATTCATATGTCTAATCTTGTCTGTTTACATAATCTTCTTTTTTTTTTGTAAGATTTATTCTTTTGTTCAGTTCAACAAATAATGTTGATCTTAGCCTCACTTGGCAGTTGGTTGCCATTTGCTATTGTTACTTTAGTATGTATTGAGAATTTTCTTTTATTTATATAATATACAGTTTCTTGTTTTATTCGTATTGGGATTATTAGTTTATTATATTTTTTTCAATTACATTTACATTACGTTATCAACAAAGACGACATCGAGATTATTTGGTTACATTTGTTTGTTCAATTTCATTAATTATTGCTTTATTGACAGCATCATTGTTACCAACAGATGTTATTCTTGTATCATTTATGAAAAACCCTAATGGAACATTTAAAGTAAAGGAAAAATTTGAAATTTTTTAGAATTTATCACTGAATGTATATATATATATATTTTCTTTTTAAAGGAAGGGACACAAAATGAAACAACTAGAGATCATATTCAGAGATATGTTGAAATTGGATATTATGGTACGTGAAAATTATTTATTCGAAAGAATAGAAGAATAAATCTGACTAATTAGAAAATCAATTTTTCTCAAAGTTATATAGAACTAAAAGAGCTATGTAAACAAATCAGATCTAACTTAACTTTGCAAAATTCAAATGAAATTCTAAAGATTAGATTCATTTGGAGATTCACATGTCATACATTTTGTTCGCATTATCTTCGGTAGAGCGCATATTATATCGAACAGTCTATCGGCGATTTGTGTCTGGTTCAAATCATATGGGTCTGATATGAATTTTAGACGTAAATAAAATAACAAAAGAATAAATAGATCTTCTAGGTAGGAGACTATACATTTCCTTCAGTATTATTCTATATCTATGAATAGTTTGATACTTATTTTAATTTTTTCCTTCATTGATTTGTATTAAATTATTTTAGTATAAACTCAATCAACATATGAGTTTTTGATAGTTTCTTTTTATATAAATCTTTAAATTAGAAATCAAAATGTATTTAATCATCTTTAAGAGGTACAAATTATTTTACTAGAATGATTTTTATATGCAAAAAAAAGAACACCAGAATGCTTTTGGTTGATTTTAAGTCATCTTTTTTTATTTCTAGTTTTATATGGTCTTGTTCTTGTTATGGCTTTTCTTGTCAATCCATTTCTTTTCTTCTATTATGAAGAAAGAGAAGAA